TTTGCAAGATAAAATATATTATAGATGTATCATATAATATATTTTAAAATTTTAAAATATATTAAAATATTTCTCGTGATATTTTAATCTTGTGCTTCAATGCCACGCTCGAATCCAATGCTTATTGGAGTTCAAAATCTAGTTTAAAATAAAAAATGAAGGATCGATCATGAAATATGACTCGTCGATAATTTAGGAATACAAAAAACTTGGTGCTGGTTAAAATGGGGCACCCGTTGTAAACCCATTTGTATGGATGCCCATTAAAAGTCCATATCCTATAACCTTCCAAACTTACCACTTCTCCATGTTATATTTTCTCCCCAAGCTTTGTATCCCTATATATGCTTGTGTTTCCTATGGAATAATGCACAACACAATTCATTCTCTCTTTTTCTTATTCATAACATGTTATCAGCACGAAATCCTAACCACTGAGTAACACCCTAGCCGTCTAAGCTCTAATCAATATTGTCCCTGTTCTTTGATATATCTCCGTTCACTCCATCTTCGTTATTGATCGAGATAAGTGTTACCCTAAACTTATAAATTTTATTAAATTATGAATGTTATAAACCCATTTTAGTGGATGTCCATTAGAAACTCATCTTCTAGAATGTTCCACCTTCTTCTCCAAGTTTAACTTTCTCTCCAACTTATTACTCTTTCCCAAGTTATTGTATCCTATATATAAATTTTGTTCTTTATAGAATAAGACACACCAATTCCTCTTTCTTTCTCTCATTCTATAACATGTTATCAGCACGAGTAGTTCTAGCCACTGAGTAAACCCTATCCGCCTATATTCTTCTATCTCTGATCTGATCCTAAACCAAGGTATATGCATTGACTTTGTGATTCCATTGATAACATACAAATTTATTTCTGTTGATCGAATAACACAAACGAATCATGCTTATCTATACTGATTATTTTCGTACTTTGTCGTATATGTTTGCTTGGGCACTGTTGATCGTAATCATGATTTTTATTTATTTATTTTATTACTAAAGTCAACCTTTTCTCGTCTTAGCAAATATGATACAGCATATAATATTGTTTTAATATTGATTAGTAGTTTGATAAAGAAGGATGCGCGCGATGAGAGTGCGATATGCAGACAAAATTGTAATTCACTAGATCGTGACATGTGTCTAATATTGATCAGAGATGATGACATGTGTTAATAATTAAAATTTATCTTAAAAAAAAAGGAGAACGAACAAAATAATTGTAAAGTAACTAACCAAATAGTAAAAATTTTTTATAGTTCAAACTAATTAGAAAAAAAGGAAAATTTCTAATAATCTAATAGTTCAAACTAATTATTAAAATAATTTAAGAAAGATTATAGAGAGTGTATAAACAAAATAAAAATAAAAATTTGAGAAAAAAATTAACTATGAAAAATAAAAGGGACAATTACAAAAATACCACTTTTTATGTGCACATTTGCAAGAATGTCACTTAGGAGTGTCCATTTACAAAAGTGCCACTAATTATAGATTTATAAAGCTTATATCTTAAAATTCTAAACCCTAAAAAATATTTTGACACCTAAAACTCCCTAAACACTCAAAACTCTATCCTTGTAGAACATAATTAACCCAAACATAAATAATACAAAGAAAAAATAATTTTGAAAAAGTGGCATTTTTGTAAAGATTTCAAAAGTGTGGCATTTTTGTAAAGTGGCATTTGAAAAATGGCATTTTTTAAAATTTCTCAAAATAAAATATGAATGATAAAACAAAATATATTATTTAAATTAAAAAACAAAAAAAAATAGAAAAGATATAAAACCTCAATTTTAAAGTTTAAGATATGCACAATTATATCAAAAAAACAAAAAATATGTAAACATATATATTTTTATCTAAATAATTATAGAATATCACAAAGAAAATGAAAATTTCCTACCTAAGACGGTGTTTGTACTTTTCAATGTTAAAAAATGTATAAAATGAAAAATTATGCAGCT